TAGAGGTGGCTCAGTGACTCAGGGGGCAGAGCACTTAGCCAGTATTGTTGAGAATTTGGGCTTGAATCTGGGCAGCCACCCAGGATTAAACTGTGGTCTCAAGTGTAATGCGCTCAGCTCAGTCACAAATGACTGTACAAACATCAAATACATTTTGGTTTTCATTTCATTTTGATTATTTTATTACTGAGCTGTTTTAAATCTGTTTTACTAACAAGCAACAATCGGTCATTCCAAAGCACACACACAGGTTTGAACCTAGTGTGCTCAGGAGGCCGATTAAAGTGAATTCAACAGTAGTCTGGGGTGCCTCGATGACAAAATCTTATCTCCTTTCGCTTGGTACGCAAGGAGGTCATGGGTTCGATCTTGACGATGCCTGCTGTATATTTTAAATTTTCATGTTCTCCCCATGGTCACGCGGATTATTGTATGGCGGCTCCTCCGGTTTTGGCGTCCACATTAGAAACGTGCGTTGAGATTATATGGCTACTATAAATTCCCATATATATGATAAGCCACTTCGATGAGCTATCGTGTATGACCAGGTTGCCTCTGAAACAGAGCTAATAGCTCAGTGCACTTTACCTGGTAAATAATTGAGTATATATATAGGTCCGTGACACCACCTTCTCTGACACAGGGTAGTGGAACTCTCCACTTTGGAACTCTCCACTGCTAGCTCGAGAGTTCCAAATAGAAATGTATTAATTTCAAGCGATGACACAAAAAGATACAAATGGAATGTAATATTTGCAGAAAAAAAAGAAACACTAGTAATATTTTTATTTAAAGCTTTCGTGACTGCAGTGAATCATATTCTTGGTTCTTTCGGTAAAGTCACGTTGAAGGGAAACAATAAAATAATAAAATATATAATATTCATTTTATTAATTTTGATTTAATTCGTTATAATTATTAGCAATAGAGATTGTGCAAGCCATGCTGCAAACTGAAAACAAAAATTCCTACCAAAAAAATATATTTTCAGATGTGGCCTATAAAAAGCCTTAAATATATCAAAAGGAACTATGTCATATGCCGGTGTGCAGGAAATAAATCTAAAAAAACTCCTGGAAATCATGTGCTCGAATCGTGTTGGTGTATGTCACAGCCGCCTATTGACAATATCACCTAGAATTTCCCCAGTATTGTTAGATTTCAGAAGTTAAACAGCGTTGCGCCTGGACAGTGCTTGGATGGGCAAACACTTTTGCAAAGACGGCTGATATGGGGGTGAGGGTACTTTTCAGACAGCATGAGAGCAGTGTTCAATATCCATTGTTGTACTGCACTTCTACACTCCCACATCTATGCACACCATACAGCATGGGGGCCTTCATACAATCGAGATAGCCGATACGGCTTTTAATAAACTTACTAGCAAGCAAAATTTCAGAACATTCTCAAGAAAACCAACTGCTTGGATTGATCTTAATGACGACCGGCATTACATAACATCATAATATGATGGTGTCACCATAATATGACGATGTCTGCCAAGGGACAGGATGTGACTGAGAGGATGTCCACCTTGGGAGGGTGATGAAATTATATCGTGTACAGGTGATAGGTAGATTATTACATCACAGGACCATGAAAAATGCACCAGCTTCAGGGTACTTTCATCCAACAGTGGATTGATCAGGTGATTGATGATGTCACCCAACGCCATGGTACGCATCGTAAATATTCAGTATAAGGCCATTCCTCACATAAACATTTCCAATAAAAGTAGCTATATTTGGAAATCTGAGTGCTATGGACTTGAATCTCTTTACTGTATCACCAATTAGCTCTGATAAAATATCAGACACTTCACTGCAGCTTTTTCTATTCTCATCATATGTTGTCACTGCTAACCGTTCAGATGAGAAGAAAAAAAAACATCACATTAATTTTCTGGGAGGCTTCTGGTAACTGTTTGAAGTGAAACAATTAAATACTGTAGATGAGATATTAATATTTAATTTCCACATTAAAAATGTATTTGGACTTTCAGTAGATTAGCCGTTTCGCTGAGGATTCGGTGAAAAATATGACGATGAAATGTACTCGGGTGCATTGCCAAAGAAGGAAAGAGATGGAGCAATGAAATCAGTTTGCATCAAGTGCTAAATATATTGCTAAATTACTGAAACGTGACAGATGGAAACGGTTTGGAGAGTTATCCAGCTATCAGTGGATTGATCGTGGCTGATAATGATCATGGAGGGTGGAACGAAAATTAATTGTTCCATCAAATAAGAGTCCATAATAGCAGCCAGTTAATGACACAGAACACAGTCTATTTAATATCCCTGATGTTAAGTGACACTCAAAAATGACCTTCCATATATACGCGTATGAACCCAATGCGAGCACATCTAAACAATAATACACCGTGACACCATATTAAACCTGGATTTGAATTAATGGTAACACAATGTAACCACCCTCATTTGGCTATTGCACACCAACTTAAGTTTTTAGTCTGGATCAAATTCATAACTATACAAATCATGCCTTGGGTGGAGCAGTGACACAGCGGTTAGCACATTGTGCTATGAATACAGCAAATATTTTTTTATTCTTGGTCATGGCTAACATCAGTGGCGAGGAAAGTCTGAGCCAGTGCTGGGCACCTCCTTCACAAATTAGGCCCGACCAACATTGTGGAACAACCCTCAAACAGTTTAATGCAGGTGTAGATTGATATAACTTTTTAAAGTTAATGATGACTGTTATTAACTGCTAAATACTTCAATGTTAACAGTCAATAAAATGAAAAAGTTAGATCATGTGAGCTAGTCTGCAGTCCTCTCTTCTCCACAATGTGGTAGGAGTAAATATAGACGGGGTGAGATCACCGATGTCAGTTTAAGCAGCTGTCTCTCAAGAGGATACATAACACGGCAGCTCATAAACGAATATCTCCTGCTATACAACTGCACTATTATTGATTCTGAAGTGGTATAAACGTATGCACAGCTAAATGTACACATTAAAAGATCACCACCAAGCTTTATTATGAATACAGAAAATAGCACTTTGCAGATGTGTCATCCCAGAAGGTTTACCATTTTATTCAAGCTTAAAACAGGGTCAAGCAGGCATGAACAATACAGAATTATGGCTACAAAAAAAGATTAAATGTGGCCACAAAATTGGCACAGAAGGACCTACTCTAGCAAATGAGTGAGTTATTTAAACAGCAACCAGTGCATGTGAAATATTATTGCGTGGGTTGTTAAAAAGGAAAAATAAACAAACCCCGAGTACAAACACATTAAAATCTAAGCATGTAAATGGCAGCATTAGCGGTGGGAGTGACAGTGTGAATGGGGACAGCAAAAGACCCTCTTGCATGGCCAAGCACACATAAACCGATCCCACCAGTAAACATTTGACTTTAAGTATACACATACGATATTAAAGATAACAAACAGATGCCTGTGCCATGGTAACTACCACACCCCAAAAAAATCACACTTAAGGTGTTAGCAGTAGTCAGGAATTGGCAGTGGGTTCCTCCTGGCCTGTCTGTGTTTTGAGCGTTATACCCTAGAACACATGTTTTCTTTTGTAATTCTGGTTTACTTCCACAATCAAAACACTCATTCGTAGAGTTATCCAAACCTCCCCGTACTGTTACATGCTGAAAAAGAGTGTTGAGGCTCAATGAAGTTTTCCTGGGTGAATAAAGCAATTATAATTGTTAACTTAATTAAGAGGCAAAGCATTCCAATGCTGGCAACACCTTTACACAATCTCGAGGCTTCCCTAAATTGGCAAATCGAATGATTTATGGTACTGTACTCGTATTATGATAGTGATTGTCTTACAAACTGTCCCTGCCATCAGGATATTAAATTTACACCAATGGCACCGGGTTGCCCGTAGAAACATCTTCCAAAGTTAATTTCAAGATGAAAAAACTACAATTTCAGTTCAATGTTACGATAGCCATTCATAAAATCAAAGCTACAATAATAATTAAAATGATAAAGAGTTACCGCGTCGAAATTCATCGATAGTTAGCGAGCATATATTTAAAATTTTTAAGCGTCAAGGACCAACAATCAGGTCTGTTAGCCACACACCTGACCAAACGCGGGCATTTTTAATGCTGAGTAGACTTAGAGGCGTTCCACAAGAAGCCCACAATTAAGCCAACACTTGGCCCCATATTAAGTCTCTCCCTATATTTGCCACACCAAACCACTTATTTTAGGCTGAGCGGAGTTGGAGGTGTGCCAACCATCCAGCCAGGAAAATCAGGCCAAGTCAAACTCACCATTGGCCTCATGTTTACATTACATTGGCACATTGTGAGTGAAGGGTGGCACCACCTGACGCGGGAACTAGTTCCACGCGGAGTGGCCCCACAGGTATCCCACCCAGTCGATCAGGCCAGAGCTCAGCAGACTAACCCTCGCCCCATGAGTACATTGGAGTCTCTACCTAATTTCAGCCACAGCTAAGAACTAATTTCATGCCGAGTGAACTTACAGGCGTCCCGCTACACCAACTAGGCCGGAGATCAAGTCAAGACAGCCCATGGCCACATGTTCACGTTAAGTCTTTCTCTCTCAACCACGCACACGATCACCAGACATGGGCACACACACACACGCACAGCCACATGGCTCTACGGACTTGAGAGGCGTCCTACTCAGCCAGCCAGGAAGAACGCCCTAGAGACCAGGCCCACCCCACCGTGGGCCCTGTGTTTGCATTACAGTCTCAGCTTGTCTTCGGCCACAGATGATAACCCCCCCGCCCCCACTCATTTGAGTCTGCTGGCACCTAGAGGCGCTCCCACCCAGCACCCGCGTCTACAACTGCAGTGACGAGTCACCACGGCGAGCGCGGTGTGCCACTGTTGTGGCCTTGCGTCCACCGGGTGAGTGCCGTGCGTGCGGTAGCAAGGGGTCGGGGAGTGGGGGTTAGGGCCAGGGCGCAAAACAACCGGCGTGACGACCGCGCGAGCAGAGCCCCCCCCCTCTGGGCGTGTGAACCTGAGCGTGGGGCCGATGCACGCCGTGTCCGTGCTCTCGATCTCGCGCAAGATCCGCTCGTGCTCCGCTGCCGTCTCAACGCTCTCCGCCTCCACCGCTGCCATCTTTCACTGTAAGCTGGTGGGGGGGGTGGAGTGACAGGAGGGGCTATGACGTTAAGTCACTCCGCGATGACGTAATCGTCAGTACAGTGCGCGCAAGTGACGTCCGCGCAGAGGTGAACGGGGTGCATCGGGGCGAGAATGCGTCGGTGACGTCATGTAATGGGAGGGGTTGATGTGAACTTTTGACGTCACCGCGCAGGGCTGAGGACTGCGGCAGAAAAGGCGGGCGGTCAGGGGTGACATCATTGCGGGATAGTTATACTCTGGTTCTTTCGGTAAAGGGGCCGTCCATAAATGACGTCACGCACCTATTTGGGTGGGGGGGGGTCACACATTTGTGACGATGATTATATTGGTAAAAAGACAAAAATAAAAATTGGTTTTCTGTATCGACACAAGCACTGCTTCCCCCCAATGTTCCGTTTGGAATTGATAAAAGCTACCATACTGCCTCTACTTGACTACTGTGACATCGTGTATAAATCAGCCCCAAGTAATGTACTGAAGAAGCTTGATTTCATCTATCACTCGGCCTTCAGATTTGCATTGAACTGCCCATATAGGACTCACCACTGTGATCTCTACATTGGGTCAAACGTAACATATCTTAATGTTCGACGGCTTGTGCACCAGATCTTATTTATTCACGATGTACTTACAAAAAAATCCGCAGACTACCTACTGGATCTCCTCTCTGTTTCAAACAACAAATTTGACCTCAGGTCTTCGCTCATCTTCCAGCTTCACATTCCCTATTGCCGTACAAAAACCGGAGGAAGGGCCTTTGCTATTGATGCCCCCAGGGTCTGGAATGCTATTGCCAATAAACTGCAACTTGAATCACTACCTATGAGATCTTCACTCAAAACTGCTCTAGAGGAGTTGTACACCCCTAGCTGCCACTGCTATTCAGTGGCCTAAAATATGGCTCTAGATTTTGGTGTTATAATATATTTATATAGTTTATTGTTAAAAATTCGGTCACAGTCCCTATGATCACTTACATTGCATTTATGGCTTTTATTTTGGTGATTTCGAAAACGTTTTTTGTTTTTGGCCATGTTTTTGTTTATTGTAGTACGGAGTTAGACTGATGGCCTTAATCTTAGTTGTCTTGTGGTTGTTGTTGTTATTTGACTTGCATCCCACTGGGATTTTTGCACACAGCGTTGGTGTACGGTGTTATGTCAGGAATATTTTAATTGTTTTTTTCCTGGATTTTCTGTTTGCACAGTCACATAATCACTTTAAGATGTTTTCTTGTTCATGTTTTTTGTTTATTGAGGTTGCACCCGATTCAAGAGCCGAATGGCTGACAGGGCTATACCAAATAAATAAACTATGAACTATGAAACGATGTGTGACGAGAGGGGGTGGGGGTGAGAAATATGACGTCACATCAACACGTTCTACTTAATTAAATAGACTTTGTTTATAAATGTTTTCTCCTACAACATCAGGGGGCAGAGCTTTGTGACGTCATATTTTGGGGGGGGGGTCTGACTTTTTGTGACGCTGCGTGACGAGGGGGGGGGGTGGTAAAAAAATCGTCCAAAATCGCGTGACGTCATTTATGGACGACCCCAAAGTCACGTAGGTAAAAAATAAAAATAAAGATTGCGGGATAGTTATTACATCACGGGACCTCCTTTGCCAGTACCAAAATGTGAGAAGAGGTTTTCCCCTTTTTTTTCTGGCAACAAAGCAGTTGTGTTGAGATGTTAAAACACCAAACTGAAACCTTTTTACGAGGAATCATGTTGGCATTAACCACAATGCTTGTGGTCAGAATGCAAACAAAAAAACATACTCTGATAATATGTGCATTGTCCTTGAAATTGATTGGTCCACACCAGAGACAGCTTTCATGTTTTTGACGATCCCCTCGTTTGTGCATTACACTATGTAACACAATCTTCTTTGGTTCTGTCGTCCCGACAGTTTTGTTCCTTCACCTGAAGAAGGCTACTTGTGTTGTGGCCGAAACGTCGTGAGAATTGTATTGTTTTATTTTATAATTTTATTCTCATTCTACGTGACTTTACCGAAAGAACCAAATAAGATTAATCCTTGCAGTCACGAAAGCTTTAAATCGATATGTAGCACAATGTTTGTGTTACATAACGCCACTACCAAGGACAGTAGCCATTTTTTTTATTACTTCAGTGTAAATAAATGTTAAAGTATAAATAAATGTTACATTTTTTATTCATATGTTGTTTTCTTCTGACTTTATGTTCATAGTTCATAGTTGCATTTATTTGGTATAGCCCTGTGAGCCATTCGGCTCTTGAATCGGGTGCAACCGCAACAAACAAAAAACAAAAACATGAACAAGAAAAACATCTTAAAGTGACTATGTGACTGTGCAAACAGAAAATCCAGGGGAAAAAAACATCAAAATATTCCTGAAATAGCACCGTACACGTAATTACTCACCCCCCCCCCCCCCATAGGGCGGGTGAGTAATTACGTCAGTTATTACCATGATAGTGGAGACGCCACTGGTATAAACCTCTCCCCCTGGTGGATTTAGAGGTGACGGCAATACTCAGGACCTGCGGCAGGTTGGATAGGGTGACGTCATTGTTGTTAGATTCGTGGTGACCTCACGAACGAGACAGGTTCGGTAGGGTGACGTCATTGTTCGATTCGTGGTGACCTCACGAAGGAGAATAATTGTTCATTGGTATGATTATGTCATTGTTGGCACCTTCGTGTTGGGCTAGACGTGACATCAGAGTCTGAATATTTATACTGAAGGAATCCGATGAGCTATAAAGCTCTTTTTTCACAGATGACCAGTCAGGGCAGGTCAGTGGGTATCTGCTCAGGCACATTGTTAGTGACGTCACTGTTCTCATGATTGTTTGGTGGCGTTTTCGTTGAACGTCATAGTTTGAAGAGCTCGGTAAACTGAACTTCATCACGAAAACAAAAGCACAATGTGCATTAGGAATAACGCGTCTAACCGGCGCACGTAACATGAGGTAGTGGCGTGGATTTTCCTCCGGGCTTTCCCTCCACATTCAACATTCAAAAATATGCATTCAGAGTATTTGGCTGCTATAAATGTCCACGCGGGCCTTACCTGGCAAAATAAAAACAAATAGCTTACTTTAGTTGGGTGACATGGGTCAGACACGTGGACATTGGCCAATAACGTGGGAGACAACAGCTGAAACGTGCACAAAGAAGCGTGGATAGGCAGCATGCTTGGAGTTGCAATGAGAGGCTTGGTCACGATTCACTGGCGACGTGGATCAAATAACAGCGCCACGTCAGAGACATCATATTGACTGTGACAAAAATAAGTGGCCTATTGCATGGTTCGGGTGCCACGGTGGCGAGATGTTAACTAGCTCGCATGCTATACAGGAGGTCGTGGGTTCGATCCCGACCCTGACGATGCCTGTATATTTGGAGTTTTCAAGTTCTCCCCATGGTCGCCTGGAGTGTCTCCGGGTCCTCCGGTGTGTCCCTCCACATTTGGAATCAGCATGCATTTAGAGTATTTGGCTCATATATTTCCACATAAGCCACTTCGTTGAGCTATCATTTGTGGCCAGGTCGCTTCTGAAAAATACCTATATAGCTCAGTAGGACTTATTTGGCAAAAAAAAAGTTACTTTAATGGCTTAGTTTAAGTTAGGCAGTAAACCTGTATGCCCCAGAGTGACAGCCAACATAGGTGACATGCCGAGAGACGGAGCGATGACATCGGCAAAGCGGAACATTGACACATGGCGATGGGATGGAGAGGGCCTTCATCCAGCATTTGAATGATCATGGCTCATGATGATTATACTGATTTATGTGATCTTATATCTCAAATCCAATTTGCGGGAAACATATTCGAACGTCGCTCCTTAACAACTGTGGCGTTGTCACCTGGCCCAACTCCCCTTCTCGCTTGAGGATGCCTTCACATCCAGCATCGGATAGATCGTGACCGCTGACAATCGTTGCGGTGGTGCCAAATGTCACGCTCGTGTTGACCGCGCGTCGTCTCAAGTTGACAGCGGGTTTTTTGCTGACGAGTTGGCTTCAGAAATGAGCCCATGTTCTCCTTCCAGACAGGGCATTTCCTAACCGAGGATTGTACAAATATCTGGCTTTGCCGATTATCCCTTGCGGCCAGACTTCCACCCATCCATTGTGCAACCGCGCGCATCGCCATCCCCGCCCCATCCCATGTTTTCGTAGAGACGCGTTGGTTGCTGCCGTGATGGCGACTGGCCCAATAGCAGTGAGTTTATTATATCTATGCCACGTCAAAGTGGCTGTTTTCTCAGCTGCCCTTGAATTTGACGAACCCATACAAATTCCATCGCTCTCACATTTACGACTCTTGAGTGGCTATATATGTTTAAAATGTGCTTTGGGTGGTAGTGGACCAGTGGGCATGTCCAGACCATTAAGGAAACATTTCGGGGCTGCGTTATTGGACAGCAGAGGGCAGTGCAATGAAAATAATTGTTGTACCGCACTCCTGTGTTACAACAGTCTATAACCATATTCAATTCACCATCATCAACATCCATAATATAATCGTACCCACTGTTGGATGAAGGCCTCCTCAAGTCGTCCCCATCTCTCATATTCCCGCAATGTAACCAACAATCCATCCCATCTACAGTAGCTCCCTCACGTAGCTTGTTGTCATTGTTTCACCCTCGCGTTCGACGTCGTGTTGGGTGTGTTGCCTCCTTTGGCTGCCACTCCACCGTTAGACTCGACCGCACCTCATCGCCCCTTCTGGCCAGGATGAGTGCTGCCTATGTCCACTTGCTTTATTCAAGTCAACATGATGTCTTTAACGTGTGTGTTCCTCATTCCGTCTTTCGGCGTAAATTCCAAGGCTGAATTTCTCCTAACTTATTTGGATATTTTTATGATTATTGGCTACATATTTACCAACGTGTTCCCTTACCTGTTGAACAAAAGGGCGTGTTTAATCAGTGCGTATTAGCTGCTATGACATATACATCAAAACATTGATGTTGACAAAGTAAAGGGATGAAAAGCAAAACTATAAATAATATTACGAGATGTT